TAAAAAAAAAAAAATCGAGTTAATCTTTAGTCCTTGCAACTGTGACTCAAATGAATTTATCAGACTCGATGGCAGTTTTACATAACGAAATTATTCCACGTTTAATTTAAACTGTTTTATTTATGAATCAACAAATGAAACATTTCAATTCAGTTTAAATAAGCAGTTTAAATTTTGTGAGAGACAGCGATCAGTAAACACTGGTTTGGTGCGAGAGACCGGCGGCCGGTATGATTGGACGTGCCGACTGATGGTAGACCCCCGGTCATACTTATATAATGTTGGCTTTAGATAATGTCTGGCCATTGTCTCGCTTGGTCATCAGTCATTTCAGTGTGGCACTGCGCCAACACAGAATGTATCATTATAATGGACTGTGGTCTATCACATACTGTATCGCTTGGACGAAATGGACTTTCCATTTTTCATATACATATACATAAAGGACACGAGATATTAATCAAAACCTTCTGTCCCTAGCCTCTGTCCCGAACCACTGTCCCCAGTCTCGACTAATAGAAGACACGTATAGTATAAGGAATAACAAGTCTACAATGTATATAGTAATACGCTTCAGACACGACACGCTGCACGTTTATAACAATGCTGTTGCACTATAATATCTGCTATTTTGTACACGATACCATTTACAAAGATGCACTCCTCAGTAAATCGTATTTAGAAATTCTATAATTGGACAGGCTTCTAAGAGACAGAGCTGCAGTGCACCGTCATACCGATGTATATCAGTCACACGACGTAGACACATACATTGATAAATATTGGATATATTCAATTTTCCAATCTGTTTCTGCAATAGATCATTACGCAGAGAAGAAAAATAGTTCTATATAGCACGATTGCCCGTTCACACCCGATAGGACATGTGTGTAGGTAGACCGTGCATTTGTCACCATTATTTTGTAATTGGGCATGCATCCGCAATAAGTGTCTCAACAGGCGGCAATGAAGTAAAACCGAAATACTAAGTAATATTCATTCTGCGCAGGAATTCACCACTACGAAACCTGGCAGTTTTATTGAGGTTATGAGCTCACACCGGAAGTGGTTAAATTCTTGTGTCACATATTTTCTGCCAAACGTAAAGTTTTAAATGGACTGCAATGAAAATTCACGGATTTATAACTATAGATTTAAACTTCTTATTCATGTTGACTGACTTGTAGGGTTACAAAATAATCCTACACAACTTCAATTACTTGAATGCCTCGGTGTATCGTCTTGAATAAATATGCACAGTCGTGCATGTCTACTGTATGTCTGCAGTAAGGTATGCTCTACTTGTATGTTGTATCTAAGTATAATTACCATGTTGTTGGAAATGCCGGTACGGGACATTAATGTTAGCCTATTTACCGTCGCAAGGTATAAACCTTCATTACAATTACACCTTTTAAAGTTACATCGCGCATGCGTTTTCTTTACCAGTCTGTATGGTAAGCGTTAAAATTAGCCAAAAACTAATTTAATTACATATGAAAATGTATGTGGTTGACGAGACAACATCTTTCATTTGTCAGATGCCTATCCGTCAAATCTCCAACCAGCAAATATCACAGTTGCACACGTGATGGGTAACATAACTTACCGACTCTGTCATTTATTAATGGAATTTGTCAGATAACCATCAAACACGTATAGTGACGATGGTCATAGAGTAGCAGGACAGTACGTGCTCTGTGGGATCACTGCTCTGTCTTCATACCGCAACGCTTTATCATACCAACCATCTTTATGTGCCGAACACAAAATTGCACAAATATAGATAGACCAAACGGTTTGGAGAGAATCGTGATTTTATCCCTCTATGCAAATTATGAGAATTGTGTGTTGATTTCAACAAGAAAACGAACTTCCAACAAAGACGAGTAAGTGGTCGATGTATTAAGTGAGCTAATATCTGCGAATCTTTATGTCGTAAACGGAACAAACAGCGGCTAACAAAGGAGCACGGCTATGTAAATGGAAGAAAGATGAGCTCATTTACAAGAAACAAATTGCATACAACACTAAACCGTGGGTGTTAGCCGATCGAGGTTAGCCGGTCTGTTTGCCCTGCATGGAGATCGGGGATAAGTTTTATTATTTCAACGTTGCCGATTCCAATCGCTTCGTGTAGTTTGGTTTCCGTTATAAAAGGTTCCGTAATGCTATATTTGGTCACGTGACGGACGATTACCGTGCCATCCAAGATTGTGATCGAGCTAGTTACGTGTAGCCTTGTTATGACAATGATGACGTCATGATACCAGTGTGCACCCTCTCGTGGGGGATCGTGTGACAAGAAAGGACATTGTCTCCAACGATATAGGTTATATTTATAAGACTTGCATACAATTTGCAATATGACTATTTGACGCGGCGCCTTTATTGATAAATCAGATGTACCGTATTTATTCATATGTCCTTGGCTTTTTAAGCTTAATGCCTTCTATTTGTGAAATAAGGAAAACGTGGAATTGGTGGTAATGAGCAGCGAGTAACGTCAGCGTTTACTGTGTAATTTGTATGACGTAAGCGTTTACTGTGTGTTCTGTTTATGACATAAACGTTCATTGTGGTACAGACCACACAAACGTTTCTTACGTTTCGTTAGACATAAACGTGTAGTGCCATGCGGCATCTGTACATCTGTTCTCTTGTATAAAATAACGAAATAAACACGTCATATCTTAAACAAGACGTTAAGCTGTCCCTGTATTTTATACAACGTACGCGGCCCCTGTGTTCGGCAAACATTACACAGGCACTATTACATAAGCGACCCGTACTTTATTAGTTGGCCTGCCAGACCCCTATTCTGATTAGGGAGTCTATTGCCGGGAAACAGACCGAGGCCAGACGCTCGTCAGCTATATAAGACTACACTACAGCTACACATTCCCAGCAGTTACACAATTATGCGAAGATTGCAGAAGATTCTGATTGGCCAGATAATCCAAGGAGATCGCGTCGCATTAAGTCAAGAGCCCAGATAGATACAGGGATGATGTTCCTCTTGACTTTCATGTGAAATGAAGGATCTCAAATACCCCTACATAGATTTTGTCTTATCTTGCCAAAACTTTTTCGATTTTGCGAACCATCAGATTTCCCATTCATCTTTTTTAAGCAAAATAAATGAATATATTTTCAGGACGAAGAATATCCCTAAGTGGTCGCAAGAGTCCAGCCGTGGGCTAGGATCGTGTGAACTGGACAGGTGTATCGTGGACACGCTGTGTGCTAAGTCCACTGACCATCGGCCTTTTCTGTCCGAGTAAATAACTCGGCAAGATTACCGGTCTAAATTGAGTTCTCGGTATCTTTGTCAGCGTTGTCTTGTTCTTGCCACTGATGAAAATATCCCTAGCTATTCAATCAGGCAAACCACGGTCTGTAGTCACACAAGAAAGTGTGGAACCGGCTGACATCACTTAATAAAAGTTATGTATGGTTTTGTCATTACTGACCATTCAATTAGAGGGCAGCGCACAGTTTGACCACGTGTACTTGACACATGTTACGTCGCACGTCATGCGTGGGGTGTCAGGAGAACCAGTTCGTTTCTTAAATGTATTACATATAAATGTATTACGTATATAATGCCAACTACATACCTTGTACCCAGCAGGGACCAGCGTTGACACACCAAAAAACACAGACTTATAATGGTGTGTTTGATGGCATTACGGCTCAATCTGATAAATGCCATCTGATAAGGCCAGTGAGCTGAGAAGGTGCAGCCCGAGCCCACCTAGATCGCACTGCCGATACCAACTGTATATCTGATGAAAGTCTAATTACGTTTTAAAAGTCAATATTTTGGGCGAGCTTGTCACCCTAACACTACACGACCTGACAGATAAACCTCGCGACAGGTAACAGATTCACTTGGATAATGTATAAGTAAGTTTAGTCAAGTTATTGGCGTCCAAAAGATGCTGAGAAAGTACAGCATAAAGTCTGTACGAAACAAAATCAAATTTGCCCCAAAAGTCAACAGCTGTTATAGTTCCCAAGTTTTCGTACAGGTGAAAGTCGTTATACACAGGGATTTTTCTTAGGGGTAGACGTACTACACAGGTAACATCGTGTACAGGACTGTCACATGACAGTCTTAACAGAGAGGTAACCTCGTGTACATGTGAAAGTTGTAGAGGACATGCAACCGTGTACATGTGAGTCGTAATAGACAGGTAACTTTGTGAACAGATGAGTCGTAATAGACAGGTAACTTTGTGAACAGATGAGTCGTTATAGACAGGTAACTTTGTTTACAGATGATATTCGTAACAAACAGGTAAATACCGGTGATCGTCGTTGTACACAGGTAACGTAAAGTGATCGTAGTAACAGTTACAATTTCATACAGCTGTTAGTTGTTAAGGATTTTGATTCTGTCGTTAGGGATTTTAAAAATTAATATCAATGAGATCACTAGTTTCCGTGGAACTTAGAACTTTTAGGCATTGAATAGGTAAATTGAAAGATCTTAATAATTCGCGAAAAATAACACCACACTCTTTTTCCGATTTTTATAAGTACTGAAGACTCAAAATAAGAGCTCTGAAGGCAAGTTTTTTAATAGATTATTTTAATTGGACTTTCGGAAACTTTATCCAAATTAAAAACGACAATTTTTTTGGACCAATAATGGCTCTTGGAAAATCTTTGGCTGTAATAGACATGCAACTTATTATACAAGTGAAAGTCGTAACTGTCAAGTTACAGGTATCTTAGATGAACTGGTAATGTCATAGCTAAATTTCACAGAACTATAAGGTTTCCTACTGGTTATGTTCCTTAGAAATCAATTAACATAGTGTAGGATTTCCCGAAATATTGTAGAGTAAAACCACGAACCAGACAGTCGGTTGACTGTATACAATGAGAAAAACTTATAAACTGTTGGACGTGTTTTTAACAGTACCGCCCGACCGACTTTACCATGGCCCGCGACAACTGTCATAGGAGAAAACGAAAGTAGTCATACTCACGCTGAAGTGAAAGCACTACGACGATAAGTACAGGGTAAAATCCGGACCGTAACCGTCCCGACGTCCGGAATGTACCGCCTTCAATAGCCATAGCACTCACGACTCCGAACAATATATATAACTCCAAAATCACTTAAGTGTCATCGTTCGAATTCATGTCCTGTGTTACATACACTACACACAAAACTTACTAGGGCAGAGCCAGCACCATGACGTTCTGTCACCGTGCTGTACGTACAGCCCTTCTAGTGCTAGTGGTGCTTGTCTAACGCCAGACTATATCACCGCCCATTACAGCCAGCAATCAGGCGGCCAGCCAATCAGAGCGCCCGTTATTACTCCCGCTGTCAGGCGGTGTGTTGATATATAGTAAGTGACCCGAATCATTCATCATAGCTTGTTTATGCCTTGGTATGATGTTGGGCAATGGGTGCCGCTTGTGATCCGAGTATGTGTGGCCTCCGCTGCCACAACCGTGCCACTTTAATATTACGGCGGCGGTTAAGATTCCGTGAAGTGGTATCGTACGTTGTTTGATGATCGCAGCGATTCATAACACGGGAATAGGAAACAATAGCGAGTGTACCTCCACCACGACGGCTAGTATCGAGGGAAACGTGTCAAGTTTTAATTTCTCAATGAAATATGATGAAGTGTGTTTGGGAATCGGTGAGCCCTATCCGAATGTCAGAAGGAAACGAAAAACGGCCTGACAGATATATCATAGGCGGCCCCACTGCGAATCGGAAACACATTAATAGAAAGATTTTGTCACATTTTGTATTAAATCATGCTATACAAACGTTCTGGGGGTTGTATGAAGAATAGCCTTTATAGGTTATACGAACCGTTTGACAGAGCCCCGTGACATTTGATGAGGGAGCACGCGCGCGAGCGGTTCCGATATAGCTTGTAAAGGAACGTTTTATTGGCGGAAATTTGAAACAAATGTACTCGTAGCTTAACTCATTAACCCCTGAAGACACATTTGAGCTCTTCCAATTCAAAGGTTGGAATAGTTCAATATGAAATTTCAGGGGTGAGTATGTCGTGTGGGAGATTTTGTGTAAACCATTGCACGAATCTCGTGCACATAGATTATGAGAGAGCGATTTATACTTGTGTGGGGGAAACATGGATCAAATGTACTGTAAACTGTTCAGGGAGATATAGTCAGTCCTGGTGTAGTGATACACCCATCAAGCTTGGGCTAGAAGCCCGATAGTCATTTCCTCCGTTTCAATATTTTTATCCAGCACTGCATGCTGTATAAAACAATGTACATCGTACAAAATTACAGACCACCTACTCACTATTCTTATTAAGTGTCGTACTTTTGAGATGTTTAATAAAATCATGATGTAAGTTACCTGAACTTTACGAGTGCGATCTCCGCCATTACCGTCCGTCCACCTTTGTACCTTACAATCACCCACATCTCTGTACCTTCCCACTTTCATGGCCCCTGTATTCTCCTCTAACCAGCTCGCTATTTTTCCGCGCCATTTAATCTCTAAGTGTAGGGTATAATCGAAGGATGAGTGGTGTAACTACTGCCAGATAAAACACTCACTAATTAATAGCTAGTTATGTACGACATTGCGAGTTTGTAAGGAAAACCATGTCCTGTTCTCACAGTTGTGGCTCGTCCCGCCCCTCAGATCGAATATTGGTTCTTCAAAGACTGACCTTCACATGGAGGCGAAACTTGGACTAGTATCGTTGTCACAAAATAGTGGATTACTGTTCTTTTAAGTGCTGAACAATGTACGTTTTACTGCAACATGGCCATTTTCGGGTATTCATGTCTGACCTTTGACCTGATGGACCGGGTAACGAGGCTGACTTCGAGGCCTTATTGGCTGCTCACATCACTCAGATCAATGGTTACCGATAAGATCTCGCGAGAGTCTCGTCTACAGAATCGAGGTTACGTAATAACAAGGTACCGTCAATGGCGGAAACTTGAGACAAGAAAATACGGAAATTGTAGAAATGTAGATAATACATTCATAGCCATTTTATGTCTGGTATCTGTTGTAAAACAGAACAGGGGATCATCGTTTAAACCCACGCCTCCCAGATACCAATCTTTATCTGCGCTTGATGTAGACGCGCCCACCCATATACGAGATCACTGAGGATATAGAATTCCAGAGAACAGAAACAAACAGCACCTCTACAACAATTCAAACTTCACGACCTTTATTTCGTCTGTCATGAAAAGATGATTATGCAGTATCACACGACTCTCTCTCTCTCTCCCCC